ATCAGAGCCTTCATGATATTGAGAGACCTCTAAGAGTGATTTTGAGAGAACACCCAAAAGACCAAAAAAAATACCCACCTTTCTAAATGGATTCCAGTAGGTTCGTTGTCAAATCCCTCTTCCATTTTTTGCCAAATGACTCAACAAGTGATGAAGGCATATGGTAGGCCCACTATAGCTCAAGATCAAGCATAATGAGGAGATGGCGTGAAGAGGCAAGCTGGACCAACAAAGAAAAGGTGTTTATGGATTCTACAGCCAACAGTCCAAAGGAAAGAAGAATGTATGTCAAGGGTGCAGCTAAGAAAGGAAGAAAACTCAAAGCATGCATCAAATCTAGTTCACCAAAAGTTGAATCTGATTTATGACCCTAAGGAAGCTGTAGAAGATAAAAAAGATGATGAAGCAGCAATTTGAGGTACCAATCCCTCGTTTTATTTACTCAAAAGTTGCAAAACCTCCCAAATTTGTTTTGAGGCAGCAAAATCCAAAGAAGGAAAGCTGTAATGGAGGAGGAGCTAAGGTTAGTTGAAAAGGGTGGTACATGGCTGCGAAAAAAAAAATGGTGAAAACCAAGCACAAGATGGATAGCAAAGGGCTGATCCCAGGTGCTTAGGCATAAATGTTATGATTTTACAGCATTAACACCAAGGAGGAGTGTTGGAGTTGTGGTGTGAAAGCTGCACCAAGAGCAGCAAATGAAAAGAAAGCTACACCAAGAGCAGCAAATGAAAAGAAAGCTACACCAAGAGCAGCAGCAAACGAAGCTGCAAATGTTTGATGAAATGAGGCTGAAATGAACAGCAAATGAAATGCAAATGAAAGGCTGCAAAGTAACAGCAAAGCATAGCACATGGAGCTGCGCAAATGGCAGCAAATCTTTGAAAGTAATCTTGCATTAAATGATTAGTAGATTTTCCTATATTAGGTAAAGATTAGGTGAAAAAAGTAATGTTGATGTATTAAGTGATTTCTACTATATAATGGCAGAAGATGAATGAAAAAAATGGGTTAGACCTCACCAAATGAGGTAACTCCATTGGTGTCTCTCCTTCTCCTCCAAGTCCTCTCCCAAACCCCCCTTTTTATCACCAAAAATCCAACAACTATGTACTCTTTTTTAGGCTTTTAAATCAATAAATTTCATTGAATTTTTTTAGTATAAATTTCCTTGATTTGGAAAATCACAGTTGAAAAACTTCATTACCAAATCCTCTTTGAAGTCTTACAAAGAAGAAATCCCTTGGAGAATAGTGGGTTCCCCCTCAAATCCATAAGCCAAAATGTAAAGGACCAAATCTAGTATTTGTGAATTTTTGGGCATGGTGTAGATGGATTTGCTGAAGAGAGAAGAAGCATGAAGTTAAAGTTGGAGATGAATCTTTTCATACTGAATGTGTTGAATTTGTGTTTACTGTAACTTGGATGTTATACATACTGAATTTTAATTTAATTTTAAAGAATCATCCTCTAAATTATTGATTTTTTCTGCACTTTTCTTTTTTCTTGTCTTCAAACAAATCTGACATTTAAGGGCTAAATTTACCTTTTCATCTACTAACTATTATTTTATTTTCATTTTAGTCTAAATAATTTAGTTTTTTCTCAAATTCATCTATAAACTATGAAAATCATTTTAAATTCATCTATCTAGCAAACTTTTGTTAGCTTTTTTAACGGAATCCTATGGCATAATTATGTGGCACAAGTTATGTGGCATATGCAATTTTGAAAAATTGTATTTCTTCTTCTTCTTCTTTTCATTTGTACATCTTAATAATATTTTCACTTTTTCAGCGATGTTTTTTTTATTTTTTATTTTTTATTTTGTAATAAATATATGTCTTTTAATTTTTATTAACAACTAAAAAAATCATCATTTTCATTATTATGATAAATTTATATCATTTTTTTAAAGCTAGTATGGATTAATCTTGACTCCTAAAAAAATTAGAGTTTTAACATATATTTAAAAACTAATTTAAAAACTTAAATTCTTATTCAAAATTAAGAATCTAATCATTTTCTAAATTTAAATATCAACATTTAATAAGATAAACTTTTAAATTTTAAATTAAGTTTTAATTAAATAAAACGAAATAATTTAAGGTTAAAACTTCAATATTTTTTGGGAGTCAAGATTGATATGTATTTTCTTCTTTCTTTTTTCATTTAGTACAAAAAAATTAATTTTTATCTATACTCTCTCTTTCTCAAAATAATTTGTTTTTTTTTTATTTTTTTAATTAAAAATTTAAGGATAATCTATGTTTACTTGTATTACCCTTAAAAAGAAATAAAAGATGAAGAGATACATTTTGTGATGAGATGATTAATTAAAGTAAATAAATAACAATTAGGTTAAAGTAAAAAAAATATAT